CAGCTGATGGGGCTGGCCATTCCTGCCAGCTCTGTCCTGATGTCCCGCTGAATGGAAACTGAAGGGCTAGGCACTCTTGGCTGTTAACAGAATGCTCTAGCTAAACCTGAAGCTGGTCTACATAAAACTTCTTTAGTAAAATAAAAGCAAGTAGTCCCGAAAGCTGCTCAAAGCTATGCTTCTGAAGGATGAAGACTCTGTTCTCTTTTAGTGACATTTCTGAAGGCTTAGCTGGCCTAGATTTTCCAAACTTAAAAAAAATAACAATAAAAACATGTAACTGTAACATGGGAATACCGGGGGAACCGCAGTTTGGCAGGCAAAGGAATATTTCAAAATAAAGTCCCAAGTAAGAAAAGTTCTGGCAGATGCACAATTCTGAATCACATTATCCAAACTGTTAGATTCTGGAAGATTTGGGGTTTTCTTTTGTGGTTCCCATACCCTTAATAGAACTGTAGTAGAGACCACATGTGTGGCCTCCTCCTCCCTTACTACTGTGAGAAAAAATAGATGTATACAAAGGGTCCCAGTGGCACCAGGCACTCCTATCTCCAGGGGTGGTTTTAATGCCCTAGTGGCCAACTCAGGTATAAAACTTGTGTTGGACTAATGCCTATTGTCCCATGTAATGCTATTAACTGAAGATCATCTTAGAAAGCTCACCATACTAACACCTTCAGAAGCCCTGGATCTTGTCTCCCCTCTGCCTTAGCAGCAATTAAATCTCTCAAGTAGTTAAGAATGCTGCTTAAAGCTAATGCTTTTTGCCTCTGTGTGCTGAGATTTAAATTGCATACTGTTATTTGAGATTTATAGTCTTTGAAAAATATCCTATTCATTTGGTCTTGAAAGAAAAGATCATCATCAGTGAAAAAATGGAAAGAAAGCATAAAGGAAATGTAAGTCAGTTCTAGAAAACCCAGAAAGCTAGTACAATTAAGTTAACTCACATTGAGGTAAAAATATGTAGAGTCAAGAATGAATTCTCTGGTCTCCTATGAAAATCAGATTAAATGCTTTAGAATTTAAACTGTATCTCTATCAGCTTTTTTCATTTTCAAATAAATGTTTAAATGGGAATGGAAAAAAACTGCTCATTGGCTTAACATAAATCTTTTAAACAGCAGGAAGTTTCACCCTCAAAAAGTAGTTGAATCTCTGAGGAAAAAGAAAAGGCTGAATTCCATTTTTCATAAATGATGGATTATTGTACCACACTGTGTATTTTCCAGTAAACTGTCCTTTTATTTGCACTGTGTGATTACAAGTTTCTAAAAGTATGTGTGGGGTCACTTGGGTGCTGTGGGAAAATGGAAGGAACACAGTTCTGTGAAAATCAGTAGTGAAATCAGAAGCAAGCTATGTCCTGATTATCATAGGCATGTGTTTAAACTTTGCTTTCCTTAATTGGTTATGTTGTATTTACTTAAAATGAACAATTTGGCAAGATTTTCTCCCTTGACAACAGAAAAGCGTAAACTGTTTTATAAGTTTGGCTGTTAAAATCGGATTTGTAAGGCACAATATTCAAAGGCTTTTACTGCTGTTTGCATGGACCCTATGATAGACCTGTCTTTATAGCCAGGCATTTCTTACATTTTTATTTTATATTTACAGCATTTTCAAGATATTTGGTTAATAAAAGTATGCCATGTATTACAGTCAGTCATCTGTTGACTTTAACTTCTTCATAACTCTTCTTAAAACAAAATGAGCAAAACAATGATAGCAAAGGCCTTGTAATCTGACTTGTCGTCTGAGGATGATTATTTATGGCTTCAGGAAATGGAAACTGACGCTCCGGAAAGTGATCATTACTGGCACCCTTGGAGAGTTTGACTGTGTTAAAAACTGTAATCTACCCAAGATTCTCTGAGCTTCTCAGGGAGTGTAAGAAGAAAGGAAGATAAAGCATTTAGAAACATATTTTCAATCCAATGCACCTTACAGACATTTCTCACATGTGGAGCCAGATGGTAGTATTGAAAACAATATAATATACATATATAGCTCTCTAATTAAGAATACTATCACTAGAATACCTAGGGGGTTCCAAAAAGATATAACTCACTACATAATTATTTTCATAATGTAGCATTTGTAATGTGTGTATGTGTGTGTGGGGGGGGTGTTAATTTGCAAAGTACTTTCTAATCACATCATGTTTATGAGTTCCATAATGGCAGAAAAAAGTACCTTGCCTGGTCCTGCATTTCTTGACACTCTGTCATAGAGATTTTGAGGTAAGATATGAAATGGAAAACAGGGAGCTAGAGAGGTGTCTCAGCAGTTAAAGGCACTGGATTCTGTTCCCAGCACTCATGTGGCAGCTAACAACCATCCTCAACTCCAGTTCCAATGCCTTCTACTGGCCTCCAGATCATTAGATAGCTGCACATGGTGCATATAAGCATATAAGCATATAAGCAGGCAAAAAACTCATATACACAAAATAAATATTAGTTAATTAATCTTTGGGAAAAAAAGAAATGATGCCGGTGTGGTGGTGCATGCTTTAATCCCAGCACGCAGGAAGCAGAGGCAGGCTGATCTCTGTGAGATGGAGACCAGCCCGCTCTATATAGTGAGTTCCAGGCCTGCTGGGGTTTCTGGAGACACAGTCTAAAAAAAAAATAATTTAAAAATTTTAAAAAAAGAAAGAAAGAAATGGAAAGCAGTACCTTTGGTAACCTGTAGAAACTTAGAATGATAGCCCATAAAATTCCAAAGATGGACTTGAGAATAAAATTTCCTCGAGGCCTGAACTCGGAAGGATGTTAAGTGTACTTTAGACTCTCACATTAGAACCCACACCTGAGAACTTGGACCACAGCATTAGTCACATACTACTTACCGGTGGTCATTGTGTTGGCTGGCCAGAATGAAAGCTGATAGTATGCTGTCATATAAGCATGTCACTTCAAATAATTCTTCTTATCAAACAATGTTGACACCATTAATGTCTGAATAGTCCTGTTCTTGTAAAATCAATTTTTGCTTAAGTTCTAAGAGCATTTGTTGTTTTCCTCATTGTCCTGAGGCCAAGCTCTCCTCTAGGATCTCTTAGTCTGGTCTACTTCTATGTCCATCACCAGGTTGCATTATCAATACACAAGCCTGTGTGCTAGTCAAAATCACTAAACCCAATACTTCCATGCATGAAATAGGTGGCCAATTTGTATAGTTTTATATCATGAAGCAATGTTGTCCAGAAATACAATGTGAACCATATATGTAATATAAAAAATTTCTAGTAGCCAGGTTTCAAAAATATAAAACGAAATGAGTTTGGTTAAGCAGTTAAAAATGAATGCTTGGTGCTTTTCCAAAGGACTTGAGTTCAGTTCCCAGCATCCATATATGGCAGCTCATAACCACCAGTCCAGGGGCCTCCAAGTCCAGGGAACCTGCCCTCTTCTGGCATCCATGGTGACCTACATGCACATGCATATATACACATGCAGATAGAAAAAAGCATGTAAATAAAAGTAAAATAAGCATATAAGTATTTTTAATAATTAGCTGAAAATATTCAAAATATCATTATACAACATGTATTTCTAAATGCTCAATGGCCCGAAGCTGCTGGTGGCTTCTGTACTGGCTAGTACAGTTCTAAGCAGCACCTCTTCAATTATTACTGAAAATTTCATGTAAGATGATGGCATTCGCATAGCTCAATGGAAGGCATAGATAAGATTGCTCACTGTTAAAACACACACAAGGACCACAGGTGATCAGACTGCTCTGGTTCTGCTTTATCGCCCTAATTCCCTAGTACCAAGTACCTCCATAGCCTATTCCTTTAAGCACAGTAGCTGATCTGTAACAGTGATTCTCAACTTTTGCAAGCTGCAGATTCTCACAGTAGTGGCTGTACTTTTTATTCTCGCTTCACTTGATAAATAGATGGCTGGTAATAGGTAGACGGTAGATCTATATGTATTTATCTATAATGCAATCTTTTCCTCCTGCCCTCTCAGCCTGATGCTTCATCTTAGCTTCCAGCTTTGGAAGTGAAGCTCCATTCTGCCTGTGGTCCAAGCTGGAGGAAGGAGGATGCATATATAACCCATGTGACCACTTACTTATATGATTTCTCACACTCTGAATCGGGCAGATGTTTAGAAATAGACTATGTTTTTGTTGATAATTTGGCTGAAACAGTGGAGACTGAACTAAGGCAAATTTCTTATCTTACAGACAAAACAAATTGCCATCAGCAATTACTAACGACAGCCCTTGAGTGTGGTGGATGTGTACGCTCAATGAAAGCCCAACCTTGTGAGCTTTAGCCCGTTTTAATTCGTAGATTTTATTATGGAGTGTGATGATCAGTAGACATTCAGCAAGTTTTTGTTCAGGAATGAATTTGACACACATTTTACTCTGAAAATAAAATCAAGAATAGAAACCAGGGTAGAGGAATTATGAAGGTATAAAAATTCCAAGGCAAATCTATATTTCCAAATTTCACATATTTTGGAATCTATACATCAATAAGAAGGTTAAGAAGTATCTGCTTCAGAGAAGAAGTCATGGGAGTCAATGTAAAAAGGAAGACTAACAAAACTATTTGTACAAAGAGAACTTTCAAATATGCCTTACCTAGCAATAGTATGTAATCAGCATTAATTGAAATTAACAGAGTATAAAGCACTCCTTCGATTTAGACGACATTTTCTTTGACTGTAATTTTATGTTTAGATACAAAGAGGTGAAATTATCTAGAGAAAGGTTGCCGTGTTCAATATCGGGGACTGGAAGTGAAAATGAATTGAGGCTAAGGCCTTTCTCGTTATACATTAGGCTTACATTAGGACAGTGCCTTTTATATAGAGAAATTTTGCTCCAATCCTTACCTAGACAGAAGGGCCTGAGTCATTAATAAAGGCAATCATTCAGTAGCTGCTGTCTTCCACTTGTATTTACACTTCCATTTGTAATAATCATATATAGAAATTTACTGAAAGACTGATTTTGTTTTTAATCTCCAGTGTTCCGACTGCATCATAGTGCTTCTGATACAAGTGACAAAAACCGAGTTAAAAGCAGATTGAAGAAGTTTATTACCCGAAGACCTTCTCTGAAAACCATGCAAGAAAAGGGGCTTATTAAAGGTACAAGAAAGTTTCATCTTCTGAGGTTATTTGTTAAATTTTCTGCTGTGTAACAGAGGAAAAATAGTTGTCCAGAAAATGATCCTTGACTAGATAAAGTTGGTGGTAGATCACAGGAAGAAGGAATCGCTAGTGTTGGCAGCAGAGGACCTGGGCTCTGCAGCGGAAGCAGAAAAGGGATGTCCTGGGGGATGGCCTGTCAGAATGGCAGCATGTTCCCACAGGCCTGCACCCATTCACAGAAGTTGTCCCAGCGTACATAATAGCAGTTGTTTTATCACTGTCAGATGTGTCCTGATTTGGATGATGTTTCCTGATCCCCTGAGTCAGTCTGAGAGAGTGCTAGGAAGAAATATGGAGGCACAAGACATTGACAGTTCTCTCTAAAATGAAATGAGGAGATACCTCTGCAAATGTATCTCAGGTAGAGGGGGAGAAAATCCTATAGCCTTCAGCCACTAGGGCTGAAAAGACACGGATCCTGGTGTTACCATAATCAGAATTCAGGTCTTGATTCTACCAATCATGCCCATTGACACTGAAGAAATCATGAGCTTCCTCAGCCTCAGCTTTCCCATCTATTAAATGGGCATAATCATACCTTGAGAAGCATTCAGTAGTACTCTGTCAAGTCAACTTCATTGATCAGCCTTCAGTTCTACCTTAGAGTTCATCTTATAGATGATTATTGTTTTTATAGAAAGATTCAACTGCAGGTTACCTGCCTTCTTAAAAGATATGAAAATAAATTAGCAGCCCAAACAATTCCAACATTACATGAAGCTTACATTTTTGTGATTTGACAAAATGAAAGACATCTTAATTCAACAACAGTATCTTACTAAAGTCAAAACTTGAAAAGCAAATAAACATCTGCAGCACCCTCTAGAAGAGTCTGAGAACAGCCTGGAAGCTGGTGCTAATGCAGTTTACGACTGACATGCGTGCAGTTCCCAGCTAGAGCTCCATTAAGTTTTCACCATAGCTCACCAATGAGTCAGTATTCATTAGCAGAGCTATGGAAAATCTATGTGTAATTCTGATTTGATAAGCTTCCATTGTTGTCTTCAGTGGAATCTTTTTTCCAAATACAGATCAAGTTATGCAAATGTAGGCACTTCCTGGCTTGTTTCAATTTTATCTATGAACTTTTCTCAAGCCTTCCACTGAGTTTTATTCTTCAGCTGAGTAAAATGCATTAAAACAATATTTAAAGTACCCAGCCAGTCAAATTTAGTACCTCAGCATAGTGTCTTAGCATATGTAAGGCAAAGAAGGGGGAAGAAATGAAACAAAAATAATTCTTTCAAGGTGAAGAATATTTAGAAAGGGGCTGGAAAGATGTCTCAGTGGTTAAGAACACTGACTGTTCTTGCAGAAGACCTGGGTTTGAATCCAGGCACCCACATGGCAGCTAACGCCTGTCTGTAACTCCAGTTCCAGCAGATCCAATAGCTTCTTCTGTCCTCCGTGGGCATTGCGGGACACATGTGCACTTACTTATATGCAAGCATAACACTCATATACATAAAATAAAAATAATAAATAAAATATTTTTAAAAATAATATTTAGAAGGAGTGCTAATGATCTTAAAAATGAATCTGTAGCACATTTAAAAGGAGAATTTGTATCATGTACTTTAAACTGGTCTTCTAGATGTGGATGGAAGGTCCCTAGTAGCCTTTTGTGGTCCTCGACACCCGGGATTGCTTCTAAAGGGATCTGGCCACATCCCAATGTTTGCTTCTCTGTGGACTGTTTCCAAAGGTTGTGGCAACTGAGCTCTGAATTCAATCAGCCCTCAGTGAACTCTGACACTCAGCAGAGTGCCACAGACTCCTTCTTCAAAACCTGTGTTTTGTAGTCATGGAGACCTGGCCACAATGTGATCACATTGGCTAGAATCTGGATCTGGAAAGTCCCTCAATGGGTTGCATTTTCTAATTTCTTTAATATGTTTAGTGAGAAAAGCACATTGTGATACTAAATATAATAAGTAAGCAAGACAGCAGATAAGTCTGAATAATTGTAGAATGGGAAGAAATTTTCCCAGCTCAGATGGGTAGAGCAGTTCCTTTGCCATGCAGCAGGACCCCAAACACCTGCCCAAGTGTATTCATGACACCAAAGGGAGTTTATGACAGCGAGCTTCTCACTAGACATACAACTTGACTGCAGTTAATATGTAGATTATGGGCACAAGGATATATTTTAGGGTGGTAGGTATGTTCTTTAGTTTCTTTCAGCCAAGCTGTCCTATTGTAATCTTTTCAATCATAGCACAAATTCTGTGAACAAAAAATACTTAGATTTACATTTTTAGAAAAGACAGCTATCATTCAGTGTTGTGGTTGGTGTTTTTTAGCAATAATAGAATTGTGTGATTGTGTAGCAATAGAATTGTGTGATTATATAGCAATAATAGGATTGTGTGATTAGAAAACAATTCTGTTCATCTTATTGTAAACAAACCTAACTGAAATTAGCATCGCACTACATCCACTTTTAGTCCTTATACTAAGAACCTATTTAAAGAGTCAACAGCACACCTCAGGATGTATGCTTCAAAGCCATGTTTCCAGCCCCATTCCATTTTCTCTCAAGGTGACATCACTTTGGTTTCTGTCTTCGGGTCCTCTGGAGGTAGGCGCCACAGCCCTGTAGCGCTGTTGTGTAGGTACAGACCGGTTTGTTTTCTGCTACTATCTTATCTTTAGTGTTGTGAGGTTTTGCTTTATCACTCTTAAACAGTAGTTTATGTTTTCCCTGGTGAAGGCATGAACTTGACTCAGCTTCACCAAACCCCTCTCACCTGCCCTGTCTTGTCCCCAGGTGCACAAACTCAAAAGCACCCCATGTCCACTTTCCATTGGTCATCTACATCTGCTGCAGTACCACATACTGGATCTCCTCTTCCTTTCTTCCCAAGCACAACTCTTCCCACACTCAAAACCTAATGCCCTTGGTCAGGGTCAGAAAGGTCATCCTGGTTTTCTATTTGAAAGTTCTCTTAATACTTTCATTCTGCTTTAGCATGCCTTTAAGTTTGTTGCCCATGCTTTGTATCAAAATGTGAACAAAAACAACAATGAGCTTGATTTTGACCAAGTAAATATTACACACTTTGGTCAAGTAGTGTTCTAGATTGGATTAACATATCCATGGGTCCAATGTCATGGCTTGTGGGTCTCACCAGTGATGATATTCTTGTTTTCAAAGATTATGCTTCAAAATTCAATGAAAATCATATTACCATTCAACTTGATTTATATTTTGATTGTGACTTTGTGTGCCAACCCCCAAAACAGTGTTTTTCTTTCTTCTTGCTTTCTTGGTTTTCATGTCATTGAATACTTTCATCTTCCGGGTTTGTATTTCTAATCTACCACACCCTGCTTTCTCTTCCGAATATCTTCCGAATTCGTAAAAGATCCTCAGCTTGGAATGGTTGTTTAAAACGTCTGATTTTCTTTAGCTGTTCTGGGTTGTATTTGTTCTCCTATAAAAACCCATGATTTTTCCTTCTGGCTCTAATCCCTTTTTATTACTGTGAAACAGGATCCATTAACCTATTTAGAAATCATGGAACTGTGATTATCTAAAAATACCTTCAGTATGCCCACACGTTATTTTTGTTTGTATGCTTTGAAAACTCCCGTCTGCCAACGAGGGCAAGTTTTTGATAGGTTTTATCTTTGTTTGCTTTTGTTTTGGACTTCTTTTCTTTGTGCTGAGTATCAAACCCAGAACCTTGAACATGCTATACAAGCACTACCACTGAGCTTTGGCCCCAACTAATGCCCACATATTTTACCAGTAGCTCAGTTGGGTATAAAATTCCACTGCTTCTATGACAGAACTGAATGCTCCACTTTCATAAGTGCCCTATTTTTATATGGTTATGCTTGTTTTTCCTCTCAAAATCACTGGGAATTTTTATTTAAGTTTTTTTAGATAAATAATGTATATAGTTGACAAAACTACATATATATAATGTATATAGTTTTCAAATATGTTCTGCTTAGCACTTAATTCCAAGTATGACAATTCCTTTCAACTCTGGTGTGTTCGCCTTGTTTCCACGCTGACAGACTCCTCTCAGGTGTGCACTGTTCCTCTTCTGAGAGCTTCATTATGTGATTATCTTTATTAAGGGACTATTCATCTTGGTTGTTTTTTTCCTATCTTAATTTTTCTCATATTCTGGAAGAATTCTCAGCATTATCTCTCAATCTTTATATTTATTCAAGTAGAGTGATCATAATTTCAATTTTCTAGACATATTGTTTCTCTCTTCTTTTGTATGTCTCATTTTTCCCACATCATGAGACCAGAGCCTTTGTGCCCATCCTGCCCCATCCCTAATAGCACTAGCACTCTATACACATTCATTGAGAATGTGGAAATATGTGTGTTTCTTTAAATTGTTTGAAGATGTAAATTAGAATTTATTGTTGCTTTAGGGGTTTGATTTTTTATATATTTATTTATTTTTTTATTTTACGTGTATATTGCCTGCATGTGTGTAAGTGCACCCATGTTGTACAATGCCTGTGGAAGTCAGAAGTGGTTGTTGGATCCCCTGGAGCTGGAGTTATGGACAGTTATTTGCCACCATGTAAGTACTAGGACATGAACCCGAGTCCTTTGCAAGGGCAGCCAGTGCTTGTAACCACTGAACAATATCTCTAGCTCCAAGACTTGATTTTTAATTTAAAAATATTCTCTTTCATTTTTTTGAAGCATCCATTTCTGTTTACTTATGGTCATTCTATTTCTATCAAATCAATGATTTTGCTCAAATATCTGTCAAGTCTCTAAGGAAGGCAAGAATAATAGAATGCACTGGCTTCAAGAAAAGTGAGTTGAAATTTTGAGTCTGGCTTATGACCATCAATTTGGTAATTTTATTATAGTAAAGACTACTAAATATGTAAATTATGAAAATATATATTTATTTATAAAAGTCTGTAAATTGGCATGTGCTCATTTCCTTCCC